TGGAGGGTAGCCAGTGCGCCCTCAGCTTCGGTCCGTGGTGGGTGTTGAACGCTCCGCCTCGCACCCTCAAATCGTGGGTTGGTCAGGTTGAGCTCGGCGCTTCATTGCTGCCAGTTACAGTTTTCCTGGGAGTTGGTCCCATGCTGGGACAATGGATCGCCAGTGCTGACCATGGGGTGTGCTTGATGCCAGCAAAGAGGGGTTTTTCTTACATTTGAATCTTACAATGAGCGATGGGAAATGTAAGGTGTAACACTAAATAATGCCATAATTATATTATTAAAAGTATTAGACAAATTTTAGGGATGAATATTCCCCGGAGTAGCAGAAATAAAGATTATTTCCTCCCTAAGCAAAAGACCGGGTAAGAAAAAAGGAGAACAATTAGGAAATAAAAGAACTAATTAGACACTCCAGTGGGTCAACCCGGTTAGTCCTAAAACCAACTCAAACATCCAATTAAAACTTTGTAAAAGTCAAACAGCATGGACAGTGACTGTGGGTGTTGCAGTGATCTTGTGAGGCTCTAAAGAGGTGATATAGAGTGTTGTTAAGGCTGGATACAAGGATGAGTTGTGAGAGATAGATAACAGTGTGATGTATCCCCGACTAGTATCGGACGTGTTACGGGCGTCTATCCTCGTCTATCTTCTCTTCTTCTGTCAACCAGCATGGACGGCAGATGACAGTAAGTGCCATTATCTCTCTCTCTCTCTCTCCGTCTGGAAGAGCAGGGAATGCGACCAAATATATCTTCTTAATAAACGTTCCTAATATATAAAAGCGCAATGAACACATGTCGATGCTGAGTATTAAACCACATGGAGACAGCAATACAGATGATAATGCTCAACTTCATATTTCAGTACACAACTGGAGTCCTCTTCAGCAGATACAAAATATGAGACAACATGTTTATATAGGATGAGTGAGTCTCAAGTGATTTCCATGATATGTCATCGTCTTCACCTGAGGGACTCACTCTTCCTATACAAACACAATCATATCTCACATTTTGTATATGCTGATAAGGACTCCAGTTTGGGGTTGAAATACACAACACAATATTATTTTATGATTTTGTCTCCATGTGGAAATATATATATATATATATATATAATATATATATATATATATATATATATATATATATATATATATATATATATATATATATATATATATATATATATATATATATATATATATATATATATATATATATGTCGTGCCGAATATGTAAAACTTGTCAATTAGCAAGAACTCATTTAAAATTAAGTCCTTTCTAAAATTTTCTCTTATACGTTTAAAGATATATATTTTTCATTAATGTTGATGTAAAAATTTTTAATTTTGCACCAAAAGGAACTTAGAAAACTTACCTAACCTTATTATAACAAGAGCAATTTATTTTAGCCTAACCCAACTAAATATATTTTAGATTTGTTTACAATAATTTAATACTAAACAAACACAGTGAAATATATTTTGTTCGTTAGGTTCAAAATTATTTTAGCGAAATTATTGCATACACAAATTTTCACTTGTCCTATATGGCAAAATAAGCGTTGCTATTTAAGCCAAGATCGCAAATTCTGCCTATTCGGCACGACATATATATATATATATATATATATATATATATATATATAATATATATATATATATATATATATATATATATTATATATATATATATATATATATATATATATATATATATATATATATATATATATGTCGTGCCGAATATGTAAAACTGGTCAATTAGCAAGAACTCATTTAAAATTAAGTCCTTTCTAAAATTTTCTCTTATACGTTTAAAGATATATTTTTTTCATTAATGTTAATGTAAAATTTTTTAATTTTGCTCCAAAAGAATCTTAGAAAACTTACCTAACCTTATTATAACAAGAAGAATTTATTTTAGCCTAACCCAACTAAATATAACTTAGATATGTTTACAATAATTTAATATTAAACAAACACAGTGATACATATTTTTTTCGTTAAGTTTAGAATGATTTTGGCGAAATTATTGCATTCACAAATTTTCGCTTGTCTTATATAGCAAGATGAGCGTTGCTATTTAAGCCAAGATCGCAAGTTCTGCCTATTCGGCACGACATATATATATATATATATATATATATATATATATATATATATATATATATATATATATATATATATATATATATATATATATATATATATATATATATATATATATATATATATAAACATGACGGTTCACAAAAGAACTCATTTGGAAAATATAACAATTGTGCTGAATTTTTATATGTATTAGCTTAGCTTTGAGGCCCTCTTCGGTAGACTACTGAGGAAGGCCTTAGTAACCGGTTGGAATAAACAACACTTCTCTGGTCTTCTGACTGTAACCACTGTTTTGTAAGGCATCATTAAAACATCAATAAAACATTGCGTTGAAGACAATATTTTTATTCTTTCCCTTGTTCATGACTTACCCGAAGTTTAAAAAGAGCGAGAGAAACGATTGATAAAACATTGTTTTGCTCTAAGGTGAGACTTTTCAAGTTTTGACTCAAGACGATGAATAACATGTTATGGTATAAAGACTTTCTCTTGTATCAGTATCTATGTATTACTTTATTTAGCGGCAAATTACCTTCCATCCACCATCTTGTCTATGGGCCAAGTTGAAAATGTTTGCAAAATACACATCTCTTCACTTTTTTTGTGGTATAGAGTAGGACAGGAGGGGAGTGAGTGGAGGGGAGAGAAGTGAGGGGATATGAGTGAATGGATGGGAAGTGAGTGAAAGGAAGGGAAGCGAGTGGAGTGATGGGATGTGAGTGGAGGGGAGGGAAGTGTGCAATTGAAGGGAGGGAAGTGAGTGGAGGAAGGGGAGGGAAGTGAGTGGAGAGAAGGGGAGGGAAGTGAGTAGAGGGAAGGGGATGGAAGTGAGTGAAAGGGAGGGAAATGAGTGGAGGGGAGGAAAGACCTTTGCAGGACTATTCTTCCGTTTTATAATTAATGAGAACGGTGGTAGGCAGCCGAGGAATGTTACTTATTAGGTAACAGCCGTGTGTGTTCCGTGACAGGGAGGAGCGGAGGTGTGTTCCTTGTCGCGGAGTGTTTCGTGTCAGGTAACAACTGAAGAGGTTCACTTGCTACGTAGCAGCCATGGAGAAATTACTTGTTAGGGAGTAATTTAGGATTGTTACTTCTCAGGTAGATGACGAAAGGTGTTACTTGCCAGGGACAGCCCGACAAGTAACACTCCTCTACTGCTACCTGAGAAGCAATAAGTGAGTTTCGAGTTCAGTTCCGTAATGGTGAGCTTTTTTTCTATGTATGAGTATCTTCTAGTATTAACAAGCCATTTGTTGACAGTTTCCTTTCTTGTTTAATTCATGTCTGTTGGTAGTAGGAGTACACTGTACTAGCTTGTAAACACCGCTGCCCTGGTTCAGACCACTGCCCTGGTGGGTACTAAAAGTTACTGTCATGGTGGGTACTGAAGCTACTGTCCCGGTGGGTGCTGAAAGTTACTGTCCTGGTGGGTACTGAAGCTACTGTCCTGGTGGGTGCTGAAAGTTACTGTCCTTGTGGGTACTGAAAGCTATTTCCCTGATGGATATTGAACGCTGTTGTCCTGGTGGGTACTGGAAGCTACTGCCCTGGTGGGTACTGAAAGCTGCTGCCCTCGTGAGCACTGAAAGCTACTTCCCTGGTGGGTACTGAAAGCTACTTCCCTGGAGGGTAGTGAAAGCTACTGTCCTGGTGGGTACTGAAAGTTACTGTCCCGGTAAGTATTGAGAGAGAAAATAGTTCATGTATTATGTTAAGAACACATAAGTCTTTGAGCTTCGCTCGGAAGTGCTCTTCAATGGACGTGACTCTTATTTATAGAAGTTTCTCTTTTCAAAGTCATTGAGGAAAGGCTTTATATTCTGATGACCCTTAACAATGGCTTAACACAGGCGAACCTTCACAGAAATAATAAAATATAAAACGATGACTTCTTCATATTTGGGTACTAGACACAGGTCACTCGACCTGAGGGTGAGTGAGCAGTAAGAGCTTCAGGGCAGAGAGTGTATCAGATCTCCACTAGCTTTGTGACGGAATAAAATACTGTTGCAATGAAATCGAAGTAGACTTGAGGATTTTTACACTTGTGCAAGCGGTTGTTTCTATGTACCATGTGATGACTTTTCTGTCTGTGTTTATGGTTGTACTTTTTCCATGCAGGGGAAGGCATATCTACTGGTCTTCTTTGTGCAAAAACCTCTTGTATAGAATAATGGTTGCGACTTTAATATGGACCGTTCCGGATCATTATTAAAACCAGGATGAATTGAAGTGTCTAGTTTCTGTGTACTCACCTAATTGTGATTGCAGAGGCCGAGACTCAGCTCCTGGCACCGCCTCTTCACTGAGTGCTACTAGGTCCTCTCTCTCCCTGCTCCATGGGCTTTATCATACCTCATCTTAAAGTTATGTATGGTTCCTGCATCCACTACATCACTTGCTAGGCTATTCCACTTCCTGACTACTCTATGACTGAAGAAATATTTCCTAACATCCCTTTGACTCATCTGGGTCGTCAACTTCCATTTGTGACCCTTTGTTTCTGTGTCCCCTCTCTGGAACATCCTGTCTCTGTCCACCTTGTCTATTCCACGCAGTATTTTGTATGTCGTTATCATGTCTCTCCTAACCCTCCTGTCCTCCAGTGTCGTCAGGCCAATTTCCCTTAACCTTTCTTCGTAGGACATTCCCCTTAGCTCTGGAACTAACCTTGTCGAAAACCTTTGCGCTTTCCCTAATTTCTTGACGTGCTTGATCAAGTGTGGGTTCCAAACAGGTACTGGATACTGGTGTATGTGTGTATGTGTGTTTGTGTGTGAGTGTGTGAGGGAGAGAGTGAATGTGTGCGAGTGATGGTTTTGAAGGGGTAATAGTAACGATGTTTAAAGACTGTAGATTACACAAAGGTCATTAAGGTTGCATGTTACTTGTTCACCACCAGCCAGGAATACTTTAATAACTTAAATAGGAATTAATGAAAACTCTCTTTGTATATACACTGAGAGACATACACCTCTCAGTATGTATATTTTGTGTATTTTATTATTAAGGAACAACTTTCTTATCTACTTTGTGCTTTAAAAGTCATTTTTGCAAATAATTTCAACTTTTACTTATATATGATTATGCCTTCGATAATCGGACTCTTTTTAATGAACTTAGTATAAATACGACCTTAAATACCAATTAATGTCAGACTGACCTTACCATGGTATGGAAGGATTAAGCTCTAGCAAGTTATATTAATTTTCAAATTAGTGGCCAAAATTCCGACTCTGAACCTACAGGTTCTATGTTGAAAGTTAAGACACGTGTGCAACATCTGGTTATCTTTATTGGGGACGTTTCGCCTTCCATTGGCTTTATCAATACAGATTCTAGGACAAAACTACAAGACAGTAGAACTATATACAAAAGATAAGGTAATCAGTCCCTCAGCCTTGGAGTTGGTGTGGTGAACACCGTGGTCGTAGAGATTCTGGAGCACAGGCAAGGAGACTGGCGTCAGCGGATTGGGACGTGTAGTAGACAAGGGCATAGACACTGGTAAGTGGGATTCCTCAGTGGGAGCACGTCATACCCAAAGGGATGGGTTAGTTGTAGTAGCCG